CTTGGTCCTGTCTGCTACACTGGGAGGAACACAAAAACACATTCTAAGGACAATTCCAGATTTTTGTAAAAAACTGAGATCACAACACTCTTGTCTTGGCTTCTTGAAGTTTTCTCAAAGGTGCTTAGAATTCTTCTCTTGAACTATGTTCAAGTGGTATAGTCGAAACATAGAGTAAGTCTATCTCTAGTTTTTTGAAGAACTGCCACACTGATTTCTACAGTGGCTATATTAGCGTGTACTCCCACCAAAAATGAATGAACGTTCCCCATTCCACATTCTTGCGAACATTTTTTTTTGCTTTTATTTTCTTAAACTTAGTCATTCTGACTAGGGGTAAGATGAGATCTCAAAGTAGTTTTAATTCACATTTCCATATTAGTTAAGTATCGTGAGTAATTAAAAATTCTCTGATCATTTTTATTTCATTTTCTAAGAACTCTGTTCAGTTCCATAGCCCACTTTTAATTGAATTGCTTATTTTCCTGGTATTTTTTTTTAGTTCTTTGCACATTCTAGACACCAATCCTCTGTCAGAGATATAGCTAGCAAATAATTTTTCCCATTCTGTAGAATGCCTCTTCAGTCTTTTATCAACTTCTTTATAGGACAGAAGCATTTCCTGGAGTGCCACTTGTTGTTGGTCTTTATCTAGTTTCTATTACTATCACTATTAATACTATTTCTGTGATAAAGTACTGTGACCAAGGCAACTTGTAAAAGAAAGCATTTGATTTGGCTTATGGTCTCAGGGGGTTAGATTCCATGATGGCAGAGCAAAAGAACAGCTTAGAACCCACATCTCAGTCCATATCCACAAGGCAGAAAGAGCACTGAGAGTCAGAACCTACAGTGGCACACCTCCTCCAACAAGGCCACACCTCCCAATCCTTCCCAAATAGTTCCACCAACTAGGGAGCAAGATTTCAAATATATGTGCCTATGGGAGTCTTACTCAAACTACTGCAGTCCTATTTCCTGGGTGACCAGAGTCTATTCAGAAAGTCCTTACTTGAGCCTATATCCTGAACTGTGCTCCCTACTCTTCCTTCTAGAAGCATTGGAGTTTTAGTTCTAACACTGATCTTTTTGATACATTTGTAGTTGATTTGTGTGCAGGTTGAGAGAGAAGGATAAAGTTTTTTTCTTCTGCATGTAGGTATCCAGTTTCCCCAACACCATTTGTTAATGATGCTGTTTTTTCACTTTTGTGTGATTTTCATCTTTGTCAAACTTCCAGTGGCCTGGACTTACATCTCGGTCCTCTAATTGAGTCCGTTGTGTTTGGTTTTGCACCTGTGTTATAGTTTTTGTTTTTATAGCTTTCAGGAATGAGAATCTCTCCATCGGCATTTTTTAGCTTTTTGTTTTGTGTTGTTTTTTTAGTTCAGGAGTATTTTTGGCTATTTAGGATCCCTTGTTCTTCCATGCAAATGTTGAAATTATTTTTCAATTTCTGTAAAGAATTGCATTGTAAATTTTATGGGAATTGCTTTTTATAATTGTTAAACATGTGTGAATGGTCATATAATGGCGGCCATTATTAGTGGTGGTATTATTATTAGAAGGAGACTGTGTGATTATGACCAAAGATAAAATGACAAAGACTTCCGGCAGTTTCTCACTAGATGAGAAATAGCATGACTTGTAAGTATTTAAGAACCTATTCTAGATAAAGTATTAATTATCCCCAAATAACTTGTTCCCTCAGTATAAGTTTTATAAAAATATTTGTGTGTGTTTAATATTTTAATGTTAAATTTATATGCTGTTTCCATGTTTTTTATTTATATGTTAACTAATTTATAAGGATATCTTCATTAATTCATTAAGCATGATTTCCATTTGATGAGAATATGAATATATTTCTCTGATACCATCTTTATGAGTACACTTTTAAAGACTTTTTTTTTAATATTTTGTGACTATACCAGTATTTTCTCCAGAAATAATATACGGGGTGTATGTGGTGTGCGTGTGTGTCTGTGTCTGTGTGTGTATGTAAGTGTGTGTGACCTATACACACACAGACACACACACTAAATCAACATTTTCCTAGTGATCTATATAGTTTCATCACAAAAATGCACAGTGGTGTGTACCTCAATTTTGTTCAGCTTCAGAATCCACTGCCATTGCTCTTCTCTCAAGGCCACTGAACCATCTGTGAGTAGTGTAGCTCAGTGTGACTGTACCTTAGAGCTGCAGACGCAGATTTAAATGAAGAGGCTGTGACAGGTAATAAACTCAAAAATTAAGGGCCGCTGTAAAATCATCCAGGCATTGAAAAATTGAACATACCACAGTAGATAATGGTGCTGGCTCCCAAGCCCTAGGCCCTGAGTTCAGTCCCTGGTACCTCGAGGTGAAAGAAGAGAACTGACTTCTGCAGGCTGTCCTCTGATCTCCATACATGGGCTGTATCACCAACACACACATGCACACACATAAACCAATAAATAAGAGAAAATATTTGATTGAGGATAAATTTGGACACGTTACTAAATTTTAGTAAACAATACTTTTATTTTAAATAATTTATCCAGTATCCTAGCTTTTTATGATACCTGTTATATATACATGTGTGTATATATTATATATGTATATTTTTAATTTTAGTGTAGCTATAAAATTATACTTTATTCATGCTAAACTTAATATGGTGGAAATAGTTTGAATATTCTGGAATCAGAACTGTTCAATCTGGCTATATTGCTTAAACTCATTATTCTCATACGCAAAATAAAATTAGTTTGTAAGATTATCATATTAAATGATAAATTAGTTCCCTTTATACAAAATAGCACAAAATGTTTTTTCTGCCCTTATTCTTTACTTAAGTAAAATTATAAATTGATAAGTTAAATATATTCTGACCTAACAAGTTTTTGATTGTTTTGTTTTGTTTGGAGAGGATGTTTCAAGACAGCATTTCTCTATGTAGTCCTGGCTGTCCTGGAACTCGCTATGTAGACCAGGCTGGCTTTGAACTCAAAGGTGCACCTGTCTCTACCTCCTGTGTTCTGGGATTAAAGGCAACCTAACTTTTTTTTTTTTTTAAATTAAGACCAACAAGCTAATTGTTGCATCTTTTGTTTCAGTGTGAACCTGAATTCTGTGCCTCTTCACAATCCTGAAGTCTCTCTTTGCCATAGGAGACCTAGATTGGACAGATCTTTCTGTACAGGAGGACTTCCCTGTACTGGCAGGAAGTTCATTTAAAAATAAGTGGAGTTAAGCATGAGCTATACAGTGAGACAACTGTATAGTAAGACCTGGTCTCAAAAAATAAGAAAGGTGTAACTTTGTATTATAGTTCCATAGATGTAGTGTGTATATTATCTTGTGTGTTTCTTTTATGAATGTGAACACAAAACAGAACTTTACCATGAAATGTGATACTCTGCATGGAAGCCTTCTTTGTCTTAGAGATCTGGAGAGCTCGGCCTTTTCTGGTCAGTAGGGCACATCTCTTGATGAAGTGTGGCAGGAACAAAGATGTCTTCTGTTCTGGCACATCTTCTATCAGATATCCCTAACAAACTTGCTTTCTTTGAGACAAAATACAAAGCTACACGCACAAATACCTTTGTGTTACTTGACTGAACAGATAGAAATGCCTGCACTCAGACATGAAAGTGGAAACACTTTGTTATTCTTAGTGTGTGCTTGTCTGAGGAGGAGGTCACAGAGAAATTATTTATAAATGACATTCATGCGTGTCATTAAAATTTAAAGACAAAAGCTAATTTCTTTGCTTATACGTATTTATTTGCTTATCCGTGAAGCTTTTCCCAAACTCTGAATTTTTATATAAAAGTGGCTTAGTAGTGACTAGCATACAGATAAGGCATAGCTGGACTTCTTTTTTTTAAAGATTAATAAAAATAGCAAAATATTTCCAAAGGCATTTTGATGCATACACATTTTCCTCCTGTTTTGTTTTTCTTGGGGGAGGGAGGGGCAAAATGTATGCACACAGCCTGTGCATGCAAATACCCAGCCCAATGGGAGGCCATGTTCTATGGAGTAAGCCATCTTGACGGGTTTGCAGTGATGGCAGGACAGGAAAGATGACAAGCCCACATAGTATCAGCCCCTCCTTCCTACAGCACCAAGGACTATGCATGGCTTCTACCCTTATTTCCTGGCCTCTGGGGTGCCTAGCTCACTCTCCATAATAATTACTTTTCAGTAGGCTGTGTAAAATGTGGTCTTTCATTCTACTGATCACAGAAAGCATAGTTGCAAGATAGGTGTTACTGGCCTTTAGCAACAGGGGAAATGAGGCTTAGGAAGCTGTCTGGGACTGGAAAGTTAACAGCTAAGAGCTTTTGTTCTTGCAGAGGACCCTAGTTCAGTTCCTGGCACCCATATGGTGGCTCAAAACCATCTGTAACTCCATCTCCAGAAGATCTGACGCCCACTTCTGATATCTGCAAGCACCAGGCATGCACACCATGCAATACTTACATACGTACATACCTACATACACATGCCTACAGGCAAAATAAAAGAAATAGGTCTGAAAGTTTTTGAAGAATATTGAATTGTTTAATTCCTATTAAAACCTGAGACAACATTCCAGTTCCAGACCGTGGACCCTAAAGCTGCTCCTCTTCCCTGAGCAGCACTCTTACCTCTCCCCTGCATGTTGTGAAGATGCCACTGCTGAGCGCATAAGGCCGTGGAGAAAGAGGGCCAGGATGTGTGAGCTATGTGATTGTGTGTATTGAAAGTTATTAAATTATAGGCTTCTTATTTCTAAAACACTGACAATGTCAAAACCAAACTGGCTTTCATTTCCACTGATGCTTCAACTTACGAGTCCCAGAGTCTGCCTGTAACTGAGCAAGGACAGTACTTCTGATTGCGCGCGGGGAGGGGGGGTGTCCCATCCCCAGTGCCACGCTTGCTATCTGGCAAGGAAGTAGAATAAAGAGCATGTTCAGCAATTACAGGTCTGGGTAATGCGGTTTGGTCTTCATACCCTCACTCAGGTGGAGCCCGAGAAGTTGAAGACCCTAACCGACGGTTTAGAAGCCTACAGCCGAGTCCGGAAAAGGAACAGAAAGTAAGCACTTGGTTTTCCATTTTGTCTTTCCTTCAGGGACTGTGAAGTCTCACGGATTTGTTTCATGTTGTGACCCAGGCACTATATTCTCTGATATTTCTATTCAGAGGACCATAATGGACACCCCAAACTAGCTATTACCAACAGACGTTTTCTGTGTCATTTGTCTATATGGCATGTGGGATTTGCTTCTCCATCCATTTTTCCTTCCTCCATCCTCACCTCCTAACTTAGAAGGAAAGAAAACATGATTAATACTTTTTTCATGGCAATTAAGTAAGCCGTACAAGTCTGTCCTTTGCAATTCAAATACTAAGGAGGGGAGCTCCCTGAAAACCTTGGCCGGTTACCCCACTGGTGAGAGCAGTACTAGTGGATGTTGCTGTTGTTTAGCCAGAGTTATGGACTTGAATATAAGTTCTCTTAGAATTCTGACATGAATCTGAACTTTGAACCGTTATTATTCAAGTTCTCCTGGATTGTTATTTGAGGAATAAAACATACAGATAAGCAGGTAGTATTACAAAGCATCTTTATGATAAGGTGGTTGATGAATCGTAATCTTTGTTTCACATTGAGGTAGAGAAACAAATGCTGCTCTGTGTGTGTAGACAGAGGATTATTTTAGACCATGTCATTGGCATTCCTGTTCAGTTCCATATTTTCCAACAACTGAGTATTATATACTGGGGCTGGTAAGATCACTGGCTCAGTAAAGATACTTGCCCCTGAGCCTGGTGATCAGAGCTGGAAACCCTGAACCTACATAGGAGAGGAAAAAAACCAGCCCCTATAAGCTGGACTCTGATCTCCACGTGTGCGCCATCTTGTGGGTGCACTGCCCACATGGGTACATGCACTGAATAAATGTTTTCTTAAAAGAAGAATTGCAAATTAATCTTTATTCATTTGTAAATGATCTTTACACAGACCCTTTAAGACACAGGTTTAGTCTTTTGTCCTTAGAGACAGATTCAGAAATACACAATTAAATGTGAAAATAGCAAGGAAAGCATTGTATGTAAGTAAATATGAGAGGTAACAGTGAACTCAACAACAACAACAACAAAAAATGGTTCCTAGGGCTGGGCATATTGGCACACACCTTTTATCCCAGCACTCAGGGGGCAGAAGCAGGTTTAAGGCCAGCCTGGTCTACATGGTGAGTTTCAGGACAGCCAGGGCCATGTAAAGAGACCCTGACTCAAAAGACAGAGATGGAGAGGGAGAAGAGAAGGGAGGGGAAGGGAGGAGAAACAAAAAAAAAAATGGTTCCTAGACTCCTAAACCAAAGCTTCCACACAACCAAATGAGCTTGGGAAGGACAATGTTTAGATAATGTTAGTACTGAATTTGGGGAAAGCAGCAGATAGAATGTTTTTAAGTGCCTGGCCAGAAACATTAGCAGGAGCCAGTATATTGGCTCTTTGCTTTATTTGAAGTACCCAAAGGAGGCAGATGATCAGATTTTTTTACCTTCATGTGAATGTAGACGAGGGGGACTCTTAAGAAAACAGTCTTAGCGATAGATTGCCTCAGAGCTCATGCCAGTAGACGAGGAAGGGAAAGGACCCAAGGAGTAATGAAAAGGGAAGAGAAGACACATGCTCAGGAAATATTTAGGAGGTAAAATTGACAAAACTTGGTGCTGATCAGAATAGTAAGGAAAGGAGTCAAGGATTTGGGCTTGCGTGATGAGGAAGGGTGTGACTGAAACGGAAATATGGAGGGAACTGTTGGATAGCACTTGGGATCTGCAGGGTGGCAGACAGGCAAGTGTGAGATGCTTGTAAAGCTGTTACACTCATACAGAGGTGCCCTGCCAGCCAGTGCAGAGTCGTGCACTGAGGACTGAAAGCTGGACAATTAGACAGTAACAGAATGAAGAAAGTGGAACGAAGTGCTAGGAAAGGAGAGAGACCAGGGGGAGAGCGGAAGGCCTTAGAAGACAAAGATTGAAGCTGGGCATGGTGGCTTAGGGATATAATCCCAGCACTCTGGGAGGTTCAGGCAGAAGGATCGCCATGAGTTCAAGACTAGCACAGGAGTAAGAACCTGTCTCAAAAAGAGAAAGAAAACCAAGATGGAAGCAACAGAGATCCAGGAAGACAAGAAATGAGACTTCTCCATTGCCTTTTGCAATTTGGAGGCCATCCAGTCCTTTGGTGATGTACAAAGAGCTCATGGGTTATGGATAAAACAAGGAAGTAGAGGGGAGATCACAGGTATTCATTCTCTTTTCTACTCTTCCTATGACGTTTTCCTAGTAAACCACAATAAAGGTGGGGTGTTTTATTTTTAGGGATTTTGTTTGTTATTTTTGTTTTGTTGTTATTGTTGTTTGGTGTGTGAGTGTGTGTGTGTGTGTGTGTGAGTGTGTGTGTGTGTGTTGCCTGCACTGTGTGTATGCCATGTCTGTACCTAGTGCCTGGTGCTTGTGGAGGTCAGAAGAGGGCATCAGATTCCATAGAACTGAAACTACACAGGTTCCCAGCATCAGGAAACTGAACACAGTACTCAAAGCAGCTGAGCCATCTCACCAGGGCTACAATTAGAAAGTTTTTGAGTTATTTTCGTGAGAAAAATACCTGGCAAAATACCTCACAGGAGAAAGGGTTTATTTTGGCTCTCAGTTCCAGAGAGACACAATCCATCCTGATACGGAACACTTGACCGCAGGCTGGTAAGGCTTGGTAGCAGAACTGAAAACTGGCTGGTCATATTGCATCATCACTCAGGAAGCAGAGCATCACCAGGCTGGTCTCCCAGGAGCCCACTCACTCCCTAAAGAGTTAGCAGCCTTGCCAGACTGCAGTAAGTTTGGGATCAGGTGTTATTGTATGTGCAGCTTTTACATTCAAGCCACAGCAATGACAGGTTTAAATCTTGTTGCAGACTAAGAAGAGGAAAAGTCAGAAAAGAAAAAGTGTTTAGAGAGTTAAGAGATTGATTCTTGACCTAGATTCATGTTCTATTTTTTGCTTCTTCATAGCTATATGTCTGAGTATGTTGCTTAATCTCTCTGAGCCTAAATTCAACATTTCTAAAATGTACATATTAATTCCCACTTTAGGATTGTTATAAATAATATAGACTCTTACATATGGTACTTGGCATATATAGTTGAAAGTAAAAGAAATAAATTATCCAGTATTTTTTCTGGTTGAAACGTGTTGTTTTCGTAAATGTTTAGGGTGTTATATAATCATTTTAATTGTTAATATCTTAAACTACCATATCAAAAATGAATATCTCTGAATTGACATAATAGTCACATCCTAACCATAAGTAGTAAGGTTTTAACAGTTAATTTAGGTTAATCTGCTGCTTAAAGAAGTGGCTCTACAAAAGGAACGTTCCAAAGCTTTTAGAAACATTACTTTTTTCAGTTACAAGGAACTCAGCCTTCTATGTGTATAAATTCCTTTGGTTACCTGATATCTTATAAAATTGAAAATTAGTAAATGATAAAAATAGGCCAAATATATTTTCACTTTAAAATTTAGAAATGTCACCACATGCTTGAGTTATAGAACATGTAGCAACTTGGAAGCTTCATCCCTACTGGGTAACTTTCATAGTGCTAGATAGAAAATGCTATGTAGACTACTAGGAGAAAAAATAGCCCATTTTCTTACCCAGCTGTGAACCCAGCAAACTACAAGAATAAACATCCTAGCAATACAAACTCACTAGTACAATAGTGGCATGGATATTAGGGAGTAACCAACCACTACTTTTAAATTGCATTTAAGGTCTGATCCACAAGCATAATGCATGCCTGATACCACTAACTAGGCCAAAAACGCATGGATGGCTAGGTCACAGGCCATAGGAGAGAAACTATTGCTCTTATTCTGCTAAATAGACATAGTAATTAACTGTCTCTAATATATTTATATCTTTTAATGAATACTTCTCTCAGCCCTCATCAAAGAAACTTCTTTTTTGCAGATGGTGATTAGTATAGAGACCCACAACTAGTCATCATGTAAAGAACAAGAGACTGTGAAGTGTTTAATTCTAAATAAGATAGTTGTTTCATACCAGGTCTCCCGAGGTTCACAGTTCATCTTAGAAGAGGGAGCGGCAGAAAGACATAAGAGCCAGAGATAGTAAACATCTGCAGTAAAGTAGTATTTGTCAGACACGACTACTCACAAAACACATAGCAGCTGGGACTGATATACAAAAGCAGGCTAGCCAAAATCCCAACACAGACAAGGGAGGGGCTCTCCCCTAGCTGAGGAGCTATTGGCAGCTGATGGCTGTGGAGGAAGTAGAGTCAGTTTTCTTCGGGGCTGTGGCCCCCGAGAGGCTACCCATGCTTTAGTCAGTGATCTTACACCACACACATGCAGTACCACTAAGTGAACTCAGTGGGTTTAAAAGGAGGAGGAAGAAGAGGAAGAAGGAGAAGGAGGAGAAGGAAGAGGAGGCAAGAAAGCAGCATATGAAGTTTGGAGGGGAAGTGGTAGGGGGAAGAGGAGAAATAGCAGGGGTTGTAGATTTGATGAAAATGAACCATGCACATATGAAACTCCCAAACAATAAAAAAAAGAATAATTTCAATTTAGCTTTTTTAATTGTCTTAAATTTTCATACGGCTTTATGGATTAAATTTTCAGAGTACAGAGTTATTGGCTTCCTGTTTTCACTTAATTTGTTATGTTCTACCTGAAATGACTCACAGACATTCTAAAGTGAATCTTAAAAAGTCATACATAATTTCTCAGTTCACACTGACATCTTATATCATTCACTGACGCTACCTGGCCTTTTTTTCTTTTTAATCAGTAAAGATAAAGATAATACGTGATAGTCGAAGGAGATAAGAAGTGGCAATTATCTCCATTAATGACTAGAAATATGATCATATGAATGTCTGTTGCTCAATCAGTTAGGATTTAGAGTGTCCATTAGTAAAAACGTTTACTATTAAGTGTCGGCAGGAATAGACAATACTAGCGGAGACTCCACAGGAGGCTCTCAGGGCTGCAAAACCAAATTTTGACTAATTGTTCCTTTAAGAACTCGCGGAGCTTTCTCTTCCTCTTCTAAGCTCATTCATTCCTGGCACACGTACAATGGAAATCAGTCTGTAGATGCGACACCTAGAAAAGTCTGCCTGCCTCTGGACTCTCGTGATACCTTCACATCATTTCATGCTCCACATCCCTGTGTGTGTTCTCTTTCCAAAAACAGTCATTTCTCCATCTAGTATCTGTTTAAATTTATTATAAACAAAACATTGTGCTATTTGGTCTAAATTACCATTGAATGTTTTGTTTTATTTATTGGGGAGGGACATATGCATGAGCAATGGCAAATGTGAAGATCAGAAGACAGCTTGTGGGAGTTGGTTCTCTTCTTCCACACATTAGTCTTTGGGGTCAAACTCAGGTCATCAGGCTTTGATAACATGTGCCTTTACCCACGGAATCACTGCACTGGCCCATACTGCATGTTTTTTTTTTTAACAAATATCCTTTTTAATACTTGGGTTAACAATGAGTTTCTAATGTTCTAACTTTGTATTCAATAAGTTCTGTTGTTAAATTAATTATTTCTGTACTTTCATCATGATGTTATTGTGTTCTTCATTGGAAAAAAAATCATGACTCTTACTTTGGAAAGATATTTATAGTTAAATACACACTTTCCTAATTACATAATTATAATTGATTTCATTCTTTTTACCTAAAAAAAGTCACAACGTATTATATACACACAGTTACCACAATGCTTACTTCATGAGATTGCTGTAAATTTTAAATGAGATAATACATAAGCTCTAACTATTGTTGGCAAATACAGTCTTTCGATAAATAGTAAGCACTCTTGCTATTAAGAGGGATGGCAGAGCAGTTCGGTGGCTAATGCGCTTTCTGAGTTCATCCCTAGGATCCATGTGACTGGAGAGAACCAACTCCCCCAACCTGTCCTGTGACCTCAACACCATGGCTTGTGCACTTTCTGACTTAAATAAATAAATATTTTCTGAAAGATGATTAAAGGGAAGAGAGCATAGTTCACTGATAGATTTTTTAATGAAATATTTTTATTTTTGGTTATTTAGAAGTTGTTAGGCATAGTCCATTTTAATTCTATAATATGTTTTAATCAAAATACATAAACACTAAATATCCTTGAAACTTAAATGCATATGGGGCAGGAGAGATGGTTCAGTGGTTAAGAACACTGGCTGCTCTTCAGAGTACTGGGGTTCAATTCCTAGCACCCACACATTATCTAACAGCCATCTATAAATCTAGTCCCAGGGGATCCAATACCTTCTTTTGGCTTCTGTGGATACCTAGCATATACATGGCATGCAAACTTACTTGCAAGCAAAACACCCATACACATTAAGTATTTTTTCCAATATTTGAACAATATAAATGCCTGTTTCTCAATCCAAAAGACAAAATAAAGGTAAACCTATTAAATGCACTGCAGAAAGTATGATATTGCTAGACAATTTTCCCATGAAGAATATTATCATGATTCACACCAAATAGCCCTTAAAAGAGGTCCTTAGTCAAACACTGATGGCCCCAGAGTCCTGGATTTAAGCTTCTTATCAGCCACCCAGGATCACACTTAACAAACTCCTCACTGAAAAACAACAACTCAGAGTGACTCTAGAAGACGCAGACGTCCATAAAAATGGAATACTCATGTGGAAATGCTGTGTACTGAGAAAAAGAATGAAACATGTATGCCAGCTTGAATGGTGCCCAAAAGTAACGATACAGGAATAACTGGCATGGTGGGGCATGTCTTTATCCCAGCATGGAGGGAGAGGCTTCAGAGTTCCAACCCAGCCTGATCTACATTGGCAAGACCCTGCCTCAAAATAATAGTGATGATGATGATGATATAGTAGTGAAGAAAGATGAATTGTGAATCCTGACAGCTTTTTGTGTGTAAAAAAATTCTGTCCATGGGTATATCAAGTAAAACATAAGCTGAGGGGGCAGATGGAAGAGAATGTGACTGAGAATAGTCACCAAGTAAAAATCGAATCTTCCCTTTCAGTTGAACTGACTTACGTGCACACTTGACTTACCAAGATACAGGACCCACTTATGTTCACGTTGGACAAATTCACTCAGCAAATATATGCAGCAGTCATGGTGTGCCTAGACGTATAATACTCAAAGGTGGATCAGTGAGCATCTGTAAGACATAGGGGAAAAAACCAAAGTAAGGGAATTGTCAGGTCGCTCTGGTAAACGGAAAGACCTCATCTGAAGGCATTCCACTGAAGTGATGGTGTTCCCTCCCACAAGTGCAAATTTCCAGTCTCCAGTGTAGACTTAACTCTTGCAGAGCCATGCCAATGGTAGCCTGCTATAGGAGTTTGCTTCAGCCTCTTTCCCGTCAAATGTCCTGATGAGAATAGATTGTCTGCGTATTCAGAAGATTCAGGAATAAAGTTTATTTGTACAGATGAGGGGGAGGAAGGTAGGTGAATGGGTGTGTAGCCATAGAGAAGGTCAGTTTTCTTGACTGTAGTAATGGGCACAACAGTTTCATCCATATCAGTTTCAAAATTGGCATGTGTGGTATGTTATTCACGGAAACCATGGAGTGGGGTTCTGAGTGAGAAAGCAATAGTCAGAGGAGTGATCGGCATCTGAGACGATCATCTTGTGTCTGTTGGAAGGATCACACCATGTCAGTTTAAGTGAATATGTGTGAAACCAGCCTCCGAGCCTCAGGTGTGATGAGGGAATAACTGTTTCTTACCTGGACAGTGCATCAGAATTTAACTTTCCTTTTGCTCCATTTGACATAGCTGAGATCCAGAAAGGGTGGAGGGAGCTCCCTAGTGGCCAGAGTCTGCAGTTCAGTCCCCGTGTGCCAGCCACAATCTGTTTCCCTGCTGAAAAACAGCAAGGCAAAAGACATTGTGGGGCAGACTGAATTCTGGTAGAAGCCCCTGCATTGGCAACCACAGACCCCCTGATCCAACCTTTGTCGCCGGAACGCAGAAGAAGCATATGATGGCGTGAGCTTCCTGGGCTCATCTTTTTAAGATGCTGTTATTTAAATCATTAGTGTTCAGTGGTGGAAACTCTGGAGCGATGTGTTATGGCCTGGGTTTTCTAAACATGAATCTAGATTGACTTTCCTGGTAGAATTGATATGTTTTTTTTTCTGATTAGGGAATTAAATGAGGGCTTTTGTTTCTTTAATTTGTTAATCTGGCATGTTATTTTCATTAATTCCAGAAGTGGAAAGCTAAATAACCATTTAGAAGCTGCTATTCATGAGGCCATGAGTGAACTGGACAAAATGTCTGGGACAGTAAGTCAATTTATTTTTCTCATTATACTGTGTTTCTTTGAAAATAAATTGCTTTAACACTTTTTTGGTAACCTCTCTTGAACATTGTGAAGCAACTCATAGCCATGCTAAACTGCTCCACTGGGGAAAGGCTGATACCAGAAAAGCATTTAAGAAGAAGGAGCCTGTACTGGCTATGCCTTTTTTATTTTTTCTGAGATAAGTAACTTTTGTTTTCTTACAAAGGTTCATTAAGTGTCAGCAGCAATACGGTGAGGTCCCAATCACAGATTTCTGCATTGACTGTGAGTCGCAGTGACTGTCAGTGTAACCAAATATTCAGCAATACAAACTTCACATTTAAGGGGGAAAGTGAGATTTTTTTTAAAAAAAAAAAAAGTCAATTTCAAAGAGTGTACTGACTTCGCATTTTCCTTCTGCTATCTTAAAGTTAAAATGTTTTGTGCAAAGTTCTGTTAGTACAAACTGTAAACCCTGTGATTAAGGAAGTCATGCGCTTTCTCTTCACATTTTTCTTGGATGATGCATTGGAGGCACTGAGGGGAGAAGTCTAAAGCCTTCTCTCCTTCACATGTAGACTTTAGACACATGAATCTAATTTTAGTAATTCCCCTAAACTAAGAATTATTTCAGGCTATGTAGCAATGAAAAGTAATTTACTGACATTTTGACTTAGGTCATCTGAATTCTAACAACCATCCAATGGCTACTCAATTCTGGATAACACCTAGAGGTGCAGGTCATAAAAATTGGGTAATCTAACCTACAGTGGGAGGACACTGAGTTTCCCGATAAACTTGTAGGCCATCAACTCAACATCTTCTATGACCCGGGTGTATTCTGTCTGTAAGTAAAGAGGATCAGGTATGAAAACGATAACAATCCTAGAGCTGAGAATTACCAACTAAGGTGTACTGCTTACACTGCTGACCACTCCCTGATTTAGAATTTCAACACCAACGGCCATCTCTCACTTGATTCTGGGGCCATCTGAGGAAGGTGCTGCTCCCTTCAGCCTCTCACTTCCTGGATTCTCTGTGAAGTGCCAACCACTCCTTAGGACCTTAACATATTCCATATCTCATATATCCGTTGCATCCTGCTTGATAGTGAAGAAAGAGAGGGCACAGAGAATTGTCAACATAGCTCCTATCAGACCAGACCACCTCAACTCAAGTGGGTTAGGAAATACATTATACAATGTGCCTTCCAAGGAAAACGATAAAAATGGTTTGTTCTTTGTCTCATTACTTTCTGTCTTGGGGCATTTGGCCTTTGTGGCCACTAAGCATTAGCAACTAATGAGACAAACCTGGACTGTGTTCTTCAGAAATTCTTCCTCCATACTCCAGCAGAGTTGAAGCATGCAGGACATTGCGATGGAATTGCAAGATGTCCCCAACTTTCTTGAGAACCCAAAAGTAAAATGCCTCATGTTTACAATTGTTTGAAAGATATTAAAGCACTTATACACACATAAAACATTGAAAAACTACATATCTAAGCAAAATACCTTTTCGGGCCACATTGGACCTGCAGATTACTAACACATTGTTGTGGGTAAAGACTTTCCTCGATAACGTAACACCTCACCTCAAGTGAACTTGAGTTGTGCTTGTTTTAAAGACATGCACAGAAAGGGTCTGGAGAAAGAAGTATTCCTAGAAGTTCATGAGCATTATCTTAAAGCTTTAAATACCGTTTTTATAAAAGAATCTTACCTTTGACTAAGACAGTTAGCCTTTGCTGTTGTCTAACCTTTGTTTTTATAATTGGCTCAATATTGGGAATAGAATCTAGGACTTCGTGCATGTTTGGCAAGCACTTACAACTGAGTTAGTTCCCAGCCCTTAAACATTACATTTAAAGCATACAATTAACCCAAGCGGATTGTTTTCCTAACTCTAGTTCCTGTGACATCATGTTGATAGGTTAAAATTGGCTATAGAAGCATTTACACCATGGGAATTAGCAAATACTACAATGGTTTTGTTTCCAAATGCTAGTTTAAAATACTTACTTTGGCCACAGCTTTGGGTCTACTCTGTCTTTCGTGTCTTACTTCATTCTTTGACATGACTAGCCATGTTCCAGCTTGGGAGATCTTACCTCCTGTCACTCAGAATGTATCTGCTATCTAATGCTCTTGTACCATTCAACCCCTTTTCACTGTGATGCACAGAATTAAATGTTTCTAGTTCCTGTACTAATATATTACAGTGAGGTGTGTTAGTTATTCTTCCCAACTCATACAAACTCAAGCCTGCCCATGAATGGTCTTGGAGTTCTATTGCCTATGCTGATTCTTCTCTTAAACAAACATCCTCAGGCAGAACTACGTGTATGTAGATATCCTGATCTTTGACCCTTTGTAGAAGTTATATAATAAGTAGTGTAATGAAGAGAACAGAAGTGGATTTGGCATGCATATACCTGAGTCTCCAGGCCAGAGTGAGACTGTTGATCCAGGCATCTCTGGCTGGCGGTTCTCCAGCTCACACTGTGCTCCACGCTATTCATTGGTGTCTTCTGCTACTCAGATTATCAATTTCTACTATTGCTCAAGCCTTGTGGAGACAGTGCACAGACTTAGGTCTTCGTAAATTTCTTTGTCAGAAGTCAAATGGTGTTTATGATTTCAATCTTCCTGTTATTTTTTTTCCCACCTTATTCCCAGGTTCACCAAATCCCACAGGGTGACAGACAAATGAGACCCCCCAAGCCCAAGAGGAGGAAGATCTCCAGATAACAGAGACTGTTCCACTGGCACAGTGTTACCAAGGGAGCGTGCACAGACCCATCTGTGTGTAGGTGTTGGCATGGCCATGGTGCCATGGTGAGTTCAGAATGTAAACTATGGCAGATAGCTACCACCACCCCAGGGCGCCAAAAGGAGCAATGATGGAGATGGCTTTTGATCAGGAAGGAAAATGAATGTTGAAAACAAAACAAAACAATCAAAATCCCTGTATGAACAAAGTGATAAATGGCCAAGTGATTGCTGAGAACCGTTTTCTATTATACTAAAATTGCGATTATAAGAGATAGTCCAAATGTTTCTGAAGAATTTTCAGTGTTGTATATAGAAAATACAGAATTTCATGGCGATATTAGAAATGTAAATGTTGTACAATATTGTCATGTACAAGCATACTTAATGCACACTTTATCTTTTATTGTACAAAGAAATAGTGTACAAAAATCTTTGGTTTCTATGGAGTACACCTACCAGAGACTACCAGTGTAAAGTGATAAATAAAAATACAACCTAAATGCTTTTCTATGATAATATAACAGATGCTGGTTTTGTATTTAACGGCAAAGAAAAGGCACGATGATGTAACACACAAATCATGGCACACGCTGCACACATCGAGTGTCCACTTACAATGTCTCTTTAGCAGGAGCCTCATATAAAAGCACTAGACTCAGGTTTTGGGGTCTAAGAAGCCTGAAAATTTCTGAGTGGATTGAGGATTCACAGGCCTAAATCAAGAATTCAGAATCTCAACCATTTGTTACAATTTCACTCTTTCACAGTTTTGGACATTTCTATAATGAATTTGAGTCACTGTCCCTGCCTCCATCCCCTTCTTTTACCCTCCCCCCCCTTACAGTGAGTCCCCTCCTATTTTCATGTCTTCCTGTGTGTGACCCACTGGATGTGATTTGAGTTTCTTGCCTGAGCACGGGCGGGAGGTTATTTACTAGAGCACGGCAACTTCTCAGTGGCTACACCAGGAGGGAAAATGGCATCATCCCCTCACCCAGCATTAACCGCTAATCGTCCCTCATGGTGGACTGAGACCACATGGGCCCCTCCGCCATCCATGGTGAAATACTGATTTGTTCAATCATGTGTAAGCATGGGCCCTTCCATCATCCATGATGAAATACTGATAAGTTTAGTCATGTGTAAGTCATGGCCCCTCCATCAACCATGATGAAATACTGATATGTTCAGTCATGTGTAAGTCATGGCCCCTGCACCATCCATGGTGAAATACTGGTATGTTCACTCATGTCTTGTGAAAGTCATGGCCCCTCCACCATCCATGCTGAAATACTGCTATGTTCAGTCATGTGTAAGTCATGGCCCCTGCACCATCCATGGTGAAATACTGCTATGTTCACTCATGTGTCAGTCTTGTGCAGATAACCAAAGCTGCGGGCTGGAGAGGGATGGCTATGGCGTACCCAGAAGATATCTCCCTGTGCTCTGGCTCTAGGGTTCCTTCCACCCCTTTTCCTGCCTTGGAAAGGGGATATGGCTGTTCCACTTAGGACATTTTTTAAAACGAAGTTTTAAAATAGAGTGGGTTTTATAAAATTTAAAAACACTTAGATGAACTATTTTACTCCATCATTTCGTTAGTAAATATTTGATAGCCACCAGTTGAACTAGCTAGCTTTTCACCAGCGATGCTCAGAGTTTTTCTGCAGACAACGTCTGATGAAGTAAAGCTTCATTTCCACACATGGAGGCAAAGGCCACACGTTGCAGCCCTCAACAGACATAAGGGTGAAGACAGTTCAGTTTTTATTTTTTGTAATGGGAAAAATAAGTCAAACCGCGTTTCATGCCGTTCATTTGTGTCTTTACACAGCAGAGAGAGTAGCTTACAAAATTATGAGCAGTGGTAATTTTATCAATATTACATAACATATCAGATTTATTTTATTTAAAGAATTATTTATACCATTCACAGATTATTTTATATAAATATATATAAATGTGGCTGAAATATGTTGGTTACGTCTTATTAGCCAAATTATTTTATGTTATATTAAATAAAAAAATGTGAAATAAATGTAGAATATTGCTACATTACAAATACAAGAACCTAAAACCGTGAGTCTTCGTAAAGTGCAAGATAACGAACAATAACGGAGCACAGTGCATCTCCTGTCTGTTGCACAATTCTTTGTGATGGTGGCATAGACAAAATTGCAGGCCACCTGTTAGAGACTGACAAAAGAAGGGCTATGTTATACCCTCTTTCTTGGAACCAGCCTCTACCCAAGACCCGCTTGCCATGGTCACTCTGTAGCCTGGCACTCAGCTGCTGGGAGATTGTCCTCTCCCAGGCTCTGGACTGGACACTACTGGTGTAGGAGGTCCTTCTGTATCTGTGTTGCTTTTCACCTTCCTAATCCTCCTCTTAAACTCCTCAGTCCCGCCATGTAACAGAGTCCAGTAACTCAGGGGAAAGGAGACAAAATTCAGAGTACACAGTACACATACACCACCAGAGTCTCTTTCTTTTCTTTTCTTTTTTAAGACAGGGTCTCTCTGTGAGCTCTGACTGTCTTGGAACTTGCTCCATAGACCAGGGTGACCTCAAAGAGACAGAGATCCTGCTGCTTCTGCCTCCCGAGTGCTGGGACTGAAGGCGTACACCATAACACCCATCCTCCACCAGGCTCACTTCTGATATCAGAGTTCTGAGATTTTCCCCCGACATCTTTTACCTTTCTGTCTGTCCTGTCCCCACCCTGCCTAATGGAATACACATGGCTGCAATGGAAGTGCCTCCTACAGTGGGTATGGTGGGAGGGGGTACCAGAGGGAGGGTCCCACAGCTGCCCAAGCCTTCCTTCAGTCACATGAAGTAACCTTTGATATCGTATAGTTACAAGGTGATGTATGTGGTCTATTTAAACCTCTGATGCTTTTCTTTTTTTTTTTCCCATCTCTCTCTCTCTCTCTCTTTTTTTTTAAAGATTTATTTATTATGTATACAATGCTTCTCCTGCATGTACACTTCTATGCCAGAAGAGGGCACCAGACCTCATTACAGATGGTTATGAGCCATTATGTGGTTGCTGGGAATTGAACTCAGGACCTCTGGAAGAACAGTCAGTGTTCTTAACCTCTGAGCCATCTCTCCAGCCCTCTCTGATGCTTTTCTTTGGCATCAACCTGCTTCTTCCTGTTCGTGCCCATCGTTGTTTGTTCTCAGAGAGACGTGGGCGTGTCCATGCGCTCCGTGTGTCTACATGTGTGATGTGTTACATGGGCGTGTCCATGCGCTTTGTGTGTCTACATGTGTGATTTGTTGCTGCTGTACAGAAGACTCTCTTACTTAGTCTTGGCTTTTGCATCTTTAGACTGGGCATGTCTGTGTGTTCCGTGTGTCTCCATGTGTTATGTGGACGTGTCCATGCGCTCCGTGTGTCTCCTTGTGTGATGTGTTACGTGGGTATGTCCATGGACTCCATGTGTCCACATGTGTGATGTGCTGTATAGAAGGCCTTGGCCCTTCCTTCTTTAGACTGGCTCCAACACACCTTCTCTGGGGAATCTGAGTTAGTTCCATTAGCACCGTGGTACACTCTGCATCAGGGGACCATGCAACATTTGTTTCTCCCATGACCTCATGGTTGCTGTCGCTTTGCTGTGGGTGCAAGATACGACTTCCTCTGTCCACATGGGTCTTTCTCTTTTTCTCTTACAGTTTCATGGTTTCGTATAAGCAGGGAATGTAAATAGTGTCAGGAGTTTAGGTCCTACCATGCTGTAATACTTTTTAAAATGTTACACCTACTTTACACCTGAAAAATTGCTCACTTATGCTTCAGTTCTTCCCACAGAGCCATTTCCTTCTCTTTCTACTAAAGTCTACTAAATTTATTTTTAAATAAAAACTAGTCCTTCTATGTTAGCAAAATTTTTATTTCATAAAATAACCTTTTTTTTTTTCAAGAAAGAAATCAAGCATTAGGAAAGAAAGAAAAGAAAGCTTTGTCTTGTTTTTTTTTTTTTTTCCTTTAGAGAATATAGTAGCCCTAACTAGCGAAGGAAATTTAATCCATTCTTTCACAGTTCTGGGACGCACACAGAGAATAGACCACACATCTAAGTAGTGTTAACGCATCATTCCCAATGAGTAAAAGTTAACTACGAAGGCCTTGTGTGATTTGTCTTACAGTTTTCCAAGCAGTCCAGGACTTGTTTTTAAAATCTTTTTAAAGGAAGATTTTTGAAGCGTACTTTTCAGTTGCACTTTGAATGAAAATGTTTGACGAGCACCATCCTCTATGATGTCGTGAGCTATGGTCAACCCTTTGTAAAAACCTGATGTGGAGTTTTGCTGTTTGTCTGTAAAGTAAACCTGGTCTCCTTACTTTATAATGCAGCAGCCGTGTGGGAGGCGCTGAAGCTGGTGGCTCACCTTCTGTGAGGTTTCTGAAGATTCTCAGGTGATAGCAACATACTGTTGTGAACCATGGTGACCTTCCATGCAGGGTTCAGCCTTCCTTTGCGAGTCATACACAATTTTGCATTAGGATTTAAGACCTGAAGGATGCTTAGGATGTTAGTAGCAATATTCTGTATGAAAAGAAAGCTTAGAACTCTAAGTCCTGACTAATACGTGCTTCCTTTGACCTTTTATGCCCAAGTGACCTAACGCAAGACTCAAAGCTCTGCAGTGTAGAACATAAAGACCTGTATGAAGATGTGGACACAAGAAACCAAGCAGTCACAGCGGTCACCCCAAGTTAGCGTATCTTTTTCTTTGATTCACTCTGCCATGTTTGCATTAGCCAAAGATACAAGAACATTAGTAATTCATGTGTGTACGAAATCCGGAAGTGAGTATTAAATCAGTAAGCCGTAAACAGTGCAATCCTGGAAAATCCTGCTAACGATGGGAAGTCTGATACAGAAAAAAGTGTTGAAAGTATTATCTTCAAATATGAAAGTTAATTTGTATCTACTGTAGATATGTATGATAAGCCTTATCTGCTTTTATACACACTGTGTGTGTACCTCGATGACCTTTTATAAACCTGAAAAGTGGTTGATTTAATAATTTGTTATGTAAATACAAAGTTGTCTATAAATTGGAAAATTTGATGCCACATGGCTTCATAATATACAAATGTGTTTTTGTAACGTTATGCCTTCATGAGTTAAGTGTAAATACTTTGAACTGTCTGTGGAGGAGGGTAGTGGTTTTCATCTCACTCACCTTTCAAATGGATATCTTTGTCCAGATGATTATACCATCAGAAAAACAAAGTGGCCTGAAACTTTTCAATGTGAAAAGCAAATATGGTTCCAGTTTCCCCAAGACCCCCTTTTACATGCAAAACCGTTGAACTGTGCTAAATACCTTGTATCGTGAGATTTTTCATAAGAGATTTAATGGTCTATACCAGGGATCCACGTAGGAAACCTTCCCAAAGGCAGCTCTTCTACTTGAGAGACAGCCCACAAATCTTTCTTTGAAACATGAAAATGGGCAGAGCCCCAGCCTTCTACTGCTTTGCAGCTTACTCTTTTCTGCTTTGCTCCCGGGGGCCCTGGGAAATACGATGTCGATGAATAGACCTTAACTCTTGCTCCTCAAGAATCCCACGGGTGTTACCTCAACACAGGGCTTTCAGCACTGGTACTAGTGACACTGGGGGCCGAGTTGTCTCTGATTGAGGAGCTGCCTTTCACATTCTCAGACGTTTCGCAGAGCCTCTCCCCTCAGCCCTCCCAAGTTGTGACAATCAAAAGTGACTCCAGACTTCAAATGTCTGCTGAAGCACAAGAGGGTAGAGATTCTAATTAAAATTCAAAACAAAACACTGCCTAAGTTGAGCCCGTTTGGGACCCTGTGTCCATGTAGGGGCCATGTGTCTGTGTAAACTATGAATAGGCTTGCATTATGTAACAATTGGTAAACTGATTCCAGAAGCTGCCAAAATTGGTGTCAACTGAATGTGTCTTGAGCCACCGTGGCTAAGGAAGTGAATATATTAATATCGGCCCCCACTTTGAACTTGATACTTTTCAGGGGTGTCCAGCATCTTTTGACACTGTCATCTACAAATGCATTGAGCTACATTCATAGCTATCCTGGGGCAAAGATAATCATGACAGAGATGCCCGCTTAGAAGAGTTACCTAAGTACATGCGACTCGGAGTCTACAAGAAGACCCAGAGCCCACACAGAGTAATACTAGGATCTCTGGGGGAGTGGAAGGTTTCAAGGTGTGGGAGGTAGATGCTTTCCTTGGAATAGATGGGGTGTTTGCCTGCGGGGACCATGGTACATACGTGTTCTCTACAGTTGGTTTTGGCTTTCCTCTCAACAATTCTGACCGAAGCAAATCCGAAGATCGTAGAGGTATCGTTGCTTTATTCATTCTCTTAATAAATCTTTACTCTGTGACATTGTGTATGATACCCTGTGTGAAGCAATGGAGATTCTGGTAAGCAAGACAGGCCCATTCTCTGCCCTCACTACACCGATAGAGACTAACATGTAAGTATGATAATTGTAAGGGATGGGGGGCATCACATGTCTGCTGTCTGTGGGGATGAAGGCTTAAAGCACAACTAGTAGAAAATGAATTGAAGTTATGCAAAGTAAAGAGTGTAATACATGAGAGTATGTAGGTGTGTTAGGTACACCAGAGTAGTGCATGGTAAGGCTTGGGGCTTAAAGGAAGCAGGAAAGAAAATGCTAGAAGAGCCCTGAGAACCTGACTAAGTACATGATTTCTCACCATGTATTGATAAGGGACTGTTGCATAGACTTTTTTTAAAGTCTAGGTTTGTGTTTTAGAAAAATTATTCTGACTGCAGTGTTAAGAACCAGCACTAGTCTGGCCTGGTGTACAACCAGTCCAAATCTGAGGCAGGAAGATCACAAGTTCAAGACTGCAAAGGGAGTTCACAGCCTGGGCAACTGAGTGAGACCCTGTCTCAAATGACAAGTGAAAAGAAAAGGCCTGGGAATACCAGTCAGTGATAGAGTTCTTACCCAACGTATCTGAGGCTCTAGGTTCAGATCCCAGTAATACACATGCACATATGCATATACACACACAGGCACATGCAAACACACACACACACACACACACACAGTGAAGGGGGTAAGACTAAAGAGCACGAAAATTCTTCTGAATAACATTTTTGAATTCATAAACTTCCCAATTGTTTTATTAGAAAATACCAGCTTACCATAATTTTTCAGATTACATTTGTCAATCAGATACCATTCCTGTCTAGAGTTCTGTGTGTGTGTGTTTCTAATATAGATTGAACATTCTTTTTTATTGTTTTTATTGAGCTATGTATTTTTCTCAGTTCCCCTTCCTTCCTCTCCCCTTCCCTCCTACCCTCTCCTATGGTCCCCATGCTCCCAATTTACTCAGGAGATCTTGTCTTTTAGGTTGAACACTCTTAATCTGAAATATAAAATCCTCCAAAGTGTGAAAGGTTTTAGTAAAAATATCCTATCTTTAAGTGCAAAGTTCTGCACCTAATTTCATGTGAAGACTCACAGTCAGAAGTCAGATGTAATAAAATTCTTGTACTAAACTGCCTCAGTGTGTATGTATGTGAAAAGTACACACACACACAAAAAATTAATTTGGGATCTAATACCCAAGATGCCTCATTATACATATGCAAATATTCTAAAGTCCCAAACAACCCAAAGCCTAAAAGGCAGCTGACCCCCCAGCATTTTAGGAGCAGGATCTCAGCTGCAGTCATGGGGACACGATCTGTGTGTCCTACATCGCCTTTCTTTCCCTCCACAGGTAGGAAAGCAAACTCATTTCTATCCTGGTTGTCAGAGGTGGGGAGGTTTAAACCCTAGAACATCGTTGCTAGAGTGGTAGGACACTGACCAGAATGTTCAGGTAAGTGTGGCGCGGGTATGGACTTCCGGGATGAACACCTCGTCTGTCCTCCTGGGGAATAAGAAGCTGTGACGGAAGGCGCAAGATCCTCGAAATACAAGGTGAGCACTGAAGATTCGGGAAGGACAACAAAGCAGATGAAAGGCAATCAGGGCCCAGAACAGGTCATCTGACTGTTGGACCTCCACCCCAGAGCAGGTGAGAACACAGCCTTTCGTCATGCGAACCAGCCCATAATGCTGTATGTGTTCTGCAGACATCCCAGCCGCAATTAGTCACTTTCTGTATTCAATGGGCAGTGAGGTGAGGGGCTTTTCAAAGCTCATCCGGTTTTAAAAAATAGACAAGCACTGATAAACTAACAGATATTCAATCTGATGGCCTCTGGGCTAGCAGCTCTCCCTTCCCTCTAACATGAGGTCATGTACACAGAAGTGCACCCCCTTACACAAGCAGTCCGTTATAATGGTTACAAACTGGGCCCTAGAGAGCCCTGATGGACGTGCATTCAAAATGTCCTTCTGATACTAACTGGTAATTTGACTTGGGCAGGTTCTTCATCTGGAAAAGAGGATAATGACACTTGCCTTATTGTGTTAAAGACGGGATGACATAACACAGATTAAACGCTTAATACAAAACACTGCTAAACTGCAGCGTGAAAATGCTGACGAGCAAAGGGACCCCTGTCAGAAGGAACAGGTGGTAGACTCTGTGGGTCCCGGGGAAGCCTCTAACAGAAGGCAAGCTCGGCTGTCCAGCGTCATGCTGCCCTCTGTGGTTCCTCTTTGCAGTCCCACATGTCTGCACTGACTAAGGTGTGGGTTTTCTGGGATGAATTCCGCTACTTATGGTACTACAAGAAGAAATGGGCCAACAAAACGATTTCCCAACAAAGTACTCTAGAAATTTGTCTCTTCAATTGTAGTAACCAGAATAGAATTAGAATTGGATAAAATTTGGGCATTTCTTAGCCTCTGCCTTACAATAAAATTGAGGACAGCTCTACAAATGAGTAGCTAGACTACAAACATGTTTAAAAAAAAAAGCCAGCAGTGCAGAAATTAGGACGGGAGAGGACATATTTGCCTCGGGAGACTGAAACATGAGGTCTCAGTTCTTGACACTGAATGGTTCTGTATTAGAAGGTGCATCACCAGGAAGATCCTAGGGTGTAAGCTCTCCATTCCCTAGTCTTAGCATCTGGAAAATGAACTGAAAAGCTACCTCATAACCGTTGGAGTGATAAACTTCATACAAGCGCTATGTAAGCTTAGTTATTATTTAAGATAGTTGTATATGCAATGCTTAGTTATATCCACTTTAATATAGAAGCTAAGCTCCTGGTGCTTCCATGAGCAGACGGGAATGATACAGGCTCAAGTAAGTAGCGTAAATACAGGTATTGACCACTTTAATGGATCCTGCTGGTCACTTTTAACTGCATGTTGTTAAATGTATCCTCTTATTTAACATGAATACTCAGAGTTATAGCCAAGCTAGAGTTAAGAAGTTCCTAGAAGGTTTGATTATGAGAGTTGGGAGGATATAGTTTGGAGTGGGTTCATAACTATCCTAGGATTCGCTTTACACAAAAGACTAGCATGAAATGGATAAAGATAGTAGACTGAGAAGTGCTTTTAAAAGAGAAGGAAAGATATATATATAATGGTCGCATCTGTAAATGCTCTTAGAGATAATTTCTTGATTGGGAATTCTTGTCTAAATAGTATGCCCAAGTTGTTGCACACTGTTAAGGCATAAGCACACTTTGCTGTAAAGAGAAACAGATACTCGCCAGTGATGGAAAGGTGGAATTGGACATTAACTCCTAGACAAGGCCTCTGTGGGGTTTCCTGATGGTAAAGCTGCCTGGGTGTGGGGAAGGCTCCTGGGAAACTCAGCTGGGAGGGCTGCTCGGCTCAGCTTTCCTTGACAAGTTCATCTTCAGTAGCTTTCCTTGTCATGAAGAGAGACTGCAGATATGTCTCGTGATCCCTTTTTCAGGCTCTGCCCCCCCCACTTCCAAACACGTAGTGATTATTTTGAGTAGGTAAGTTCCTTCAAATTTCAACTTAATTTGGAGACAGGAGCTGGTGATCGCAGGCTGATTCTTACTGCTGTGGTTTATTTGTCAAAGAACAGAAAACATTTCACAGGAGCTGGGGAACAAGCATGCAGAAACTGGGCAGAATGATGTATAGGCTCCCTCTGGGAGAGCCATCTTTTGGGCAGGAGTCACTGGAGGCTGGGAACTCCCTCCTCCCTTCTCTTGTCTCTGTCTCTTTCCTATGGCCAGTGATCATGATCCCAAAGGAGCTGAGGCATCTGGGAAAGGGGCAGAACCACACATTGTCACTTTGAGTGTAATCAAAGGTCATGCCCAGAAATTGCCACCAGGAGCTCACAGACTTCTGAATGGAAAAAAAAAAAAAAAGAGATGGAAAGTGTGGTTTTGGCCTCAAGGTAAAACGATTCCCCTACCATGGTTCTCCTCTTTGTCTTACTATGTAGCCCTGGCTGACTGAACTCCAGATCTTGCTGTCTTCCTTCAGCTGGGACTGCAGGTGTGTGTCCCCATGCCGGGCTAGCCTTCTTTTCCCTAAGGCAATGGTTTCCACCCTTCTTTAAACCAGGAATCCCTGTCTATAAAATAAGAATAAAATCGAAGGTGTACTCTGTATGTGTGTATAGTGTTGTGTATCCTGCTGTTCCGTTTTAAGAGCACTCAGAAATGAAGAAACACTGAGATAAGCTGAGGATGAGTCATCATCTCCTCCTTCATTGGACTGGGGCTGTGTGCATGCACCTCCGAGGAGCCCTCGTCAAAGCAGCAAGGTTACAAAGCAGCAAGGTTACAGCATGCTACTCCTCTGAGCATTATCAGCAATGAATGCAAACGGTCAAAGCTCATGGGGGAGAGACCCAGCTTTTCTTACGCTTCGTTGGCATCCCAAGCAAATGGTGACAGATTAGCAAAAGGAAGCAGAGACTTCTGAAACATCTTGGTGTGGGAGGCCCTTCTGTATATGTGCTGCTTCTATGGGTTAATGAATAAAGAAGCTGTCTCGGGCCTGCACAGGGCAGAATAGAGCTAGGCAGGGAAAACTAAACTGAATGCTGGAAGGAAAAGAAAGCAGTCAAGAGATGCTGTGTAGCCACTGCCTGGAACAGGTGATGTGAAACCTTGCCGGTAAGCCACAGCCATGTGGCAGTACACAGATTAATAGAAATGGGCTGGTAGGATACAAGAGCGAGCTAGAAATATGCTTAAGCTATCTGCCAAACAGTATTGCAAATAATATAGTTTTGTGTGATTATTTTGGTCAAAGCAGCTGGGAATAGACTGGCAGTCTACTCCTAACAACATCTGATAACTAACATGGACTGTTTGGTTTGAGAACATTGAGATATTTCTATAAACTCAAACTATCTATCCAAATATGTCTCCCTGGATCTTAGGTCACTACCGAGCCATCACCTGCTCTGGAGAGTCACCCACACAGTGTACCAGAGAGCTACCAGAGGCCTGGGACTTCTTTTGGGAGAAAGGGAGGAAGGATGGGAGGAAGGAAGGAAGGGAGGAAGGAAGGAAGGAAGGAAGGAAGGAAGGAAGGAAGGAAGGAAGGAAGGAAGGAAGGAAGAAAGGAAAAAAAGGAAAGAAGGAAAACCATACAGCTTTCACATGGCCTCTCTGTGCTACCTGCTTCCTCTCAGCATGGTGTCTGGGTTCTAAGGACAAGTGCCCTGAAGAAAAAGTCGTGTAGGGTAGTGTTAGCCTGGCCTAGCCTCAGATGCCACGGCACTGCTTCTGCCAAATTCCTGTGGTGAGAAGAGAGAGATTCCACAACCATCCCATAAGCTTGAAGAGAATGTAATTGCATCTTGTGACAGTAACAAAAACCTTGAGACTCATTTCTTACTTCCACAGAACTTTTTAACAAAGTAAGTGACTATGAAATATCCTTTCTGCTGACAAGTATTGCTAAGATAAAAATAATTCCTAACATTCTCCAGTGAATGGAACTCAACTAGTTTCTTTTACTTCAGGAATCTAAGTATTTTAGGCAATTAGCCCATGTCACCCCAGTAGAAAGTAGTAGATCGGAGGCTGGAGAAACTGGAGTACAAGCACCCACCCACAAAGCCTTAACTATAACATTTTATTAGCCTATTTTATATATTTATAAGGTATCTGAATGTATTTCTCAAAGTTAATAGCTTACGTATATAACATATACAACCTCACACACACACACAAAAGTGTTTATACAGTTCATAATATAGAAAAATATCTTTATCAATAGCTGTTAAGTTAGATGGAGGCTCCTGTAGAGTTTGTCTTTGAAGGAAAGCCTCCCTGATGACCACTTTGTGAGGTACTATAGCTTTGGTTTGAAGGACCACCCCTGCCCCAATACCAGCAACCCATACATTAGCATATGGATGTTCAGGGTGATGTTATTGGGAGGTGAGCGGGAATTGGAGGCGGATCTAGTTCAAAGTTCTTAGATCACTGGAGGTATGCCATCCAAGGGGGTGGTGGGGGCTCCCTCTTTTTCCCCCTCATTCCCTAAATGTGTAATGAGTGCCTCCACTCTACTGCCCACTCCCCTGAGAAGTGCCGTCTCAGCACAGAGCCACAAGCAGCAGGGCCAATGACCGTGAACTTAAACCTCCAATAAGCCGAAACTCCCCTTTTCACTGCAGACGGCAGTGTGGCACAGTGACAGAAATCTGACTACCTCCATAGTCAGCTTGCCCGGGAGGAGGGAGATTCCTGGAACAAGGGGTCACTGAGTGTAGGGAAGAGGAAGCAGGAAGTAGAGCCCTTCACACACACCCTCCCCCACTGCACACCTCTTTTGGGGATCAGGAGGAGAGAGACTGCAGACCTTTAAAAGGTTGATTTCTGTGAAAGGATTTACAAGGTAGCCTTGTGCTGTGTGAGCCCCATGAACTCTCCCTGAAGGTGAAATTGAGGGGAGGGGGTATTACCATGGATTTGCTGTAATTGAATTTCTTGTTATGGCTAGTTTCGAGGCTGTGTTTTATACCAAGACTCAGTTCATGAGGATAGAGACCGACCTGACTTCTGGGTTCTTAAATCACACACTCTTAACAAGCTGTTCATGGACCGGACAAAGTGATCAAATCCATTAACCGTTTCAATACCAGCCAAAGCATCTTCATCCTTCTCAGCAACTGGTATTAGGATAGCTCCGCTCCAGGAAGAACAAGCCTCCATCAAACATGTGTTCCTGAGTGCCTGTGCCTGTATAAGGCACAGACACACACAAGTGAGCTTCAGTAGAACTAAATTTGGCCTTGAAAGCCTCTTCACCTTCTTTTGCCCACTCTGGATACCAGGAATAGGAAAGTGAGTCTCAGTCAGATTCCTCAGTCAGGCATGGTGGCACACAACTATAATCTGAGCACTTGGAAAGCTAAGGCAGAAGTGTGTGTTATTTCAGTACCAGCCTTGGCTACAGAGACCCTATGTGAAAAAACATAACAAAGACAAAGAACTCCTCAAATGAGTCTATGAAATCAAGGCCAAGTCCTTGAAACTAAACCAGTTCTGTGGTGAGAACCACGCAGATACTCTCTGGGTTTGACAAGGAGCCTTCTGAATTATCTCTGGCTCCACCCACTACGGGCGGGGGCAGCAACCTTACCTGTTTCATTGATCCCCTCTGGGCTTCCTGTTACTGACTCTTGGCACCTGCCACCACTTACTACAGATTCCTGGTCGGAGGTCTCAGCTCTCGGGGGAAACAACAGCCACAAAACACTAGGTGTTGATTGTTTTTTATAAAATGCTCTGATTCCCTCTATCAAGCTCAGAAAGTTCTGGCTTCGCCGTGTGGTTTTGTAGCTTCCCGTCTCTACCACTGTCGTATTCTGAAAGTGACTGTGTTTCTCCTTCGGAAAGGAACATGCACAGTGCTGGAGGGGACAGACTTCTGACCTCTCCTCCTATTTTGAAAGCTAGCTACGTGGTCATAACCTCAAAGGGACCTTCGCCGTGTGGACATAGGCATTCCATGGTTCAGTTGTTGTCAATCACACTTACACAGCCCTTTCTTCTGGTCCCTTTGAAGGATGATGTCTTTGTCTTGTAGGCGCTCACAGTCAGCTGCAGTTCCCAAGTGGGAAATCTGAGGCGTTTGGTGAGGGAACCTCAGGCTGGCTGTCAGGCAGCACCGGAAACAGCGGAACTGGTACACAGGGTGGCTCGCTGGGTCAAGGAGCTCAAGTGGGTAAAGCGCTGAGGGCGGTTTCTGTGAAGAATTTCCAGGAGAGAGATAGGAGTGCACGGAAGTACTTCTGTATGCGTGGCTGGAGGGGACAGTCGGGCGCACAGGGCGAGGAGGTGGAGAGAAAGCAGAGCCATTTGGAAGGATTGTTCTGTTGTGGTATACGGGAGAGCAGGCTCCTCCTGGGATGAGAGGTGGTGGCACAGACTGACGGTGTAAGCACAGGTGCTGTGTGCGTCTCCTTGTGTGGCCGTTCTGTGTCCAAGCACTGAGCACAGAGGAAAATGGTTCTCTCCTGCACTTGGATGACTGCACTGAGGTGGGACCTGATTGTAGGAAGGCCTAACTAGGTCTCTTTGACTGGTCAGACAAAATGATGAGTCTGGAAAAATCAAGTTTTGTTGACTGAGTTTTTCTGGCCTGCCCGGTTCCCGCAGTTGTTAAGTCCCAAAGAAATCACACAGAGGCCTACATTAGTTATAAACTGATTGGCCCATTAGCTCAGGCTTCTTATTAACTCGTAACTTATATTAACCCATTATTCTTGCCTATGCTAGCCACCTTGTTTGGCGAGGCAGTCACATCTTGATTCTTCTGTGGCTGGGTCAGGACTACAGACTAGGACTTCCTTCTTCCTGTTCTCATTGACCTGCCTCTACTTCCTGTCTGGTTGTCCTGCCTATACTTCCTGCCTGGCTACTGGCCAATCAGCATTTATTTAAAATATAATCGACAGGATACAGACCATTGTCCCACAGCAAAGTTCCTTCTGGTAGGTTCTGTGAATCAAACGCTACAAATAGAAGATTCACTCTATGGGCTCTTGACTTAAAAAACCAAGTTGATGAGAATGGAGTGGCTATTACTTCCAAAGGACCACAGGAAGTAGCTGAAAAAGAGAACATTTTAACAACTATAAGCTGAGCCTGGCAACACACATCTGTATTAGAAAGGCTGACACAGGCTTTTGGGTTTACTGGATTTGGAGTTGCCTAGTCTGTTTGTGACGATCCTGGTGCACCATGGTCCCTTTTAAGACTTATAAGTCGCTGGTCCAGCTGAAGCACAAAGAAGGGACCTTATTTGAAGTGGTCGGAGACTCCAGCACGCTGCCCGAGTGGTTCCATGCCGGGTTTCTGGATGATCCAAAGACAGTGTACGTGAATCCTTGGTTTGTGGAAGCGATATTTGGCAAAAATGGATACTACATCCCACATGTCGAGAGTACATCACGTACCTTGCTTCAAGTGACCCATTGGCATTCTGAAGAAGATGCAGAGATTTTGATATTCGGGCCTCCTCATTACCAAGAAGACGTTTCCCAGATGATCTCTAACTTGGTTAATTACCGCCGGCGAATGAGGCAAGAGGAGGACCTTTCTCCAGAGGATGAGACCCAGTGTCGTCTTGAGGAGGTTGATAAGGCCTCCACCCAGCTGTCTCCTATGAGGGCCGCTAAGGCTCAGGTAGAGGTGGCTGAGGCTGCTACCCAGCAGGCTCAGGACCTTTCTCCAGAGGATGAGACCCAGTGTCGTCTTGAGGAGGTTGATAAGGCCTCCACCCAGCTGTCTCCTATGAGGGCCGCTAAGGCTCAGGTAGAGGTGGCTGAGGCTGCTACCCAGCAGGCTCCGATTGAATAAGACTTTGTTTTCCCCCAGTTATTTGCAAACACAATTGAAAATATTCCAATAAAGAGCTGCATCCTCCAAAAAAAAGAAAGAAAGAAAGAAAGAAAGAAAGAAAGAAAGAAAGAAAGAAAGAAAGAAAGACTGACACAGGAGGATAGCAAGTTCCAGACCAGGCTGGGATGCATAGGGAAATCTGTTGCAGAAGAGAAATAGATGTGATGGTAGAATCAGAGCCCATAAATAGGAGGTATCAGTGGTCCTTGGTATCTTTCTATATTTTAAAATGGCTCCTTTATTTCTCATGATAATTATGAAATGAGAACCATGATGCCTCCCTATGGATTTTATCAATGAGGAAACCAGGACCAAGTTGATTCAAAGCAAAAAACTGGCTCCTCAGTCCTCATCCACCGGCCAATTCTAGCAAGACAGAGGTGACCCCTGGAGTCACCTGGCATGTACTCAAACTCGGATGTAGGCTCATTGGAGTTTGCCTTGATCGTTTGATCTTATTAAGGTTTGTCACCCACTGGCCAAATGAGAGGAGAAGCTGGAGGCTTGAGTTCTCCAGGTAGAAGCCATGAACTTATTAAGATAAGGATGTTGTAACCCAGTGGTAGAGCACTTGTCTAGCACACACAAGCATGAGTTAATCCTAACCTCCGGACCGTTGGTTTTACAAACTAATTTCCCATACAAACGCACATGGGGTTTCTCTTCTCCCAAAGTTATTTGCATCTGCTTTAATTTTTACCCACAGAAACATTCATTTCACCACACAGTAAATTAACTAACCAAACTAAGCATGTTGGGGGACTGGGGTACACATTGTCTCATGGCTCCACTTTTCCATCTGGCTGAACCACTAAGGGGCAGGGTGAGATTGAGTACGCCATACTTCCTCCTTTCTGAGCCTTGGTTTCTCTGCTGGCTCAGTAGGTCTCCATCGTCTCAAATCTTTCAGAGACCTTCAGAATATAGTATTTAATGTGTTTTAAGAAGTTAGGACTTTTTTTTATGACAGTGAGACACATCTTCTCCTGGCAGCACCAATAACTTCAAGAGGAAGATGGGCACTGAAGAGGCTCCGTATGGAGTTTGCTAGCCATTTGGGCAAGAAACTGCTCTTGCCTGGACTGCTTGATGTTATGCTGTATGAACTGGACATATGGCACCCACAGAGAAATGACTTCTGAACTTGCATAAAGGTGAGATGATGGCCCTCCAACTACTCAGAGATCTGTTGAATACGGCATTTAAGGTGTTTAATGAAAGAGGCTTTCCCTGTTAGACAAAAAATGCCAGTTTCTGTTAGCAGCAGCTGAGGCTACCTAAAGATGGATAACCACAGACTCCACTTGGATTGTAATAATGCTGACCACTGTACAAAAACTGCCCCATGTCTCAGCCACTGCCAGGGCACTGCCAAAACTTTGGATACTGTTAGGTTAACTATCCTACTCTACTTCTCCAAAACAGGTCAGTTTTCCCAAATTCCTCCTCTTTGGAAAAGCCTCTCAGACATCACGGGTCTGGTGAACAAAGGCTTATGCTGCCCAGTGCAGCAGCTGGAGATTTAATGCTGTCCTGTGTGTTAGCCCAAGACTGACAACCTCTGCCCCCAACAAAGCTATCAGGATCACCGTGGAGGATCACAGACTAGCTGTCCAGGTAAGTTGGTAAGTCTCTGTTACGTTAACTGATTCAGAGGCCCTTTGGGTTATTGTAAGAGTTATCCAATAAGAAGCTAGAGCTAATGGGCCAAGCCGTGCTTTAATTAATACAGTTTCTGTGTGATTATTTCAGTTCTGGGCAGCTGGGACTAACAAGTGGCCCCCTCCCCACTACAAACACACACACATACACATATGTATATGCGTATATGTGGTATTTATTAAACTGGCTTCCAAGGTAGGTAGGGTCTGACTATTCACACTGGAGAGGACTAGAACGTGATTGCTCAGTTCGTGGGTCTGGATGTCTCAACAGTTCCACTAAAGGCCTGGAGGATTCCTGGAGAGCTGCTGGTCTTCAGTCTGTATTGGAAGACTGAAGACACTCTTCTAATAGCTGCTGTGCAATACCACAGAAACGGGGCAGATGAACTTGCCAGTGAGCATGAGGGTATGCGGTCAAAAGGGAAGGTTTCTTTCTTTGATGTCCATTGCTTTGGATTTGCACCGGAAGATGCCACCCACATTTAAGGTAGGTCTTCCTCCTTCAAACCATCTAATCGAGAATTGCCCTCACAGGTGGACCCAGTGCTCACATTTTAGTTGATTCCAGACCCAGTCAAGTGGACAGCCGAGCTTAGCTAATTCATGACCTGATTCTATCCACTGTTTCAAGGCTGAATTGAGAGGCAGGGGAGAGAGGGTAGGGATGGGGAGCACTGAGCCAAAGGGATGTGCACACACGTGTACATGCACACTGTGACCCTTGTCTGCCTTTCCACAATCTGCTAATAAATGTGTTAACCTAAAAGAAGTATCTGTACAGACACTTGTGCATATACACAAACACACACAAATACTGCACAGACTTAAAAACAAAAATGTCTGAAGACATTAACTGCTAAAATCAGAAGAAAAAGACGTCAGACTACAAACCCCAGAGTAGTAGAAACAATATTCTGTTATTCTCTTTCTATTTTTATTTATTTATTGTTTTTTCGAGACAGGATCTCTGTAGCTTTGGAGCCTGTCCTGGAACTAGCTCTTGTAGACCAGGCCAGCCTCGAACTCACAGAGATCCTCTTGCCTCTGCCTCCAGAGCGCTGGGATTAAAGGCATGTGCCACCACTGCCCAGCTTCTGTTATTCTCTTAACACAAACTTCTAGATTTCCTGTGGCCCCAATCTGCCTTGACTAGCGGAAAGTTCAACCCCATCTTTATCCAGACTTGAAGGTCCCAGCACCTTGTGTGGCACAGGGCACTGCCAGGCTCCCTGTGTTCCTGTCCTCAGGGTTTTCCACAAGAACATACTTGCCCTGCATGGGTATGGCAGCCTGTGGGGTTCTGCCCATCCATGGGCACTGAGGGAGACAGCAACACTCATGGGATTCACACCTCCTTGGTTTGTCATGTGGCCCCTCTGTCTCAGAGACATTTCTTTCTCCTGTCTGTCTCCTTCTCTGCTCCCCCACAAACACAAGGTATGGCTACTCACTTATAAAAGAAGGAGGAAGGAAGAAAGGAAGGGAGAGACGGAGGAACACTCCACAGAGCAGGAAGGAATCCAGTATTTTACCCTCAAACCATGAAGTTACACTTACCTGCACTCAGCAGATGGTGTGAGCTTGAGTGTGGGTGTTGGGACTGCGCACGCGCGCGCACACACATATACACACACACACACACACACACACACAACCACTGCCTTGGCTGACCTCTTCCCTCTGTCACCTACTTCTGCACTGCCTAGGGCATTGTGTTAAGAATGACACCCAGTGTTAGGCCTAAGGCCTCCAGGTAGTGAGCCTGCTGTTTCCCCTCACAGGCCTTTATCCCAGGAGGACAGTCAGACCAGGGAGTATCTGCTAACAGCCTCCTCTCCTGGGGCAGAAGATGGTCTGTGGGACAGGTTTGGTGGTCTAGGGGTGGGTGAGAGAAAGGAAGAGAATATTTGGGGACTGTGGGGAGCTACAGAGCCTGGCGAACGGGGGTCAAGAAGAAGCCTGTAGGTGTGGCCCTGGCCTGGACACTCTAAGAAAGTTTGCTGGCTAATGTGTTATCTGTGTCCTGCCACCCACGGGGTTCAGGGGGAAGAGGTGGGGCTAGAGAGAGAGGATTCGGTTCTTAATGTCCACAGCCATCCTTGCTAAACCAGGCCCCACGCCTTCATCCTTCCCGGCACGTCTCACTGTTGTTCTAGCTAAGGGTGGAGACAGGACTTTGTCGCGTCAGTTCCTCTGCTCATCTCTCCAAAGTCATCATTTTAATAATGGACATTAAGGAAATGTCTCCCAAATTATGATCCAGGGACCACCCCCTTAGTGCTGTCTAAGGAGTTCACGGGAAGTGCAGATTTCCCAGAATCCCTGGGGTGAGGCTGAAAACCCAGAATCTGACACCAACTGCCCAGCCCAGGCAGTCTGACGTGCACTGCCCCTGAAGGACTACAGGAAGCTCGAACCCCTGGTGTATCCTTTGTGTGTCTGCTGCTAGGTGTCTCAGTGTGTATGTGAGAATGTATCCCTGTGTGTTGGGACTATCTGGAGTCCTGGCCTCCAGCTGCTCTTCCCTGCTAGAGATCTTTACTTTCCTTCTGATTTGAGTTACTAAAGGCTGTGTCAAAGTTGTTTACCAGCTCTGCTTCACAAGCACGTGTTGCCTTGCCTTGAGGATCAGAGGATGAGGTTTTCACCTGTTGGCCCACTTGATGGTTGGGTATCTAAGCCTCCATGGTGCTATTGAATAGGGGGCGTCTTACCAGTGACTAGAGGTCCGTGTCTCTGTCCCTCTGTCTGTGTTTGTGTGTTTCAACCTCCAGCCCCTTGCCCGAAGCTCAGGAACTGTATGGTAGTGCATAGAGCGCAGCTAGTTGTGGCGTGTGCTGCACGTGTGTCCATGTGTTTCTAACGTGTCTGTGTGCATATGGCTACATGGATGTCAGTGTGCATCTGGACTGTCAATCTATATTTGTTCTTGGTATCAGGCCTCTTCCGGTCCTCTGCTTCGGTGACCTCTGGAAGTCCTGCCTGAGGCAGCTCTCCTAGCTGCTGCTCCCTGCTTGGAGGTCGCAATGAGAATGTCAGCTGACGAACAGCAGTGGGAGGTGGCTCCTAGGCATTAGGCAATAGGCAGAGCCTGAGATCAAGAGCCCACTTTCCGTTGGCTTCTCCCCCGGGACTGTGTCCTGCTAACACCCAGGCTCAGGCAGCAGTGTTGTTCAGAAAGCTGCCGAAGCAAAGTGAAGAAGATCTCCCATAAGATCAGACTCCTCGCTTCCCATTGGCTTCCTGGGCTCTAGAAAACCAGGTGTGTGGACTTTACAGTCTCCCTGTCTGTGGCTGTCCCCTTGCCAAACCCAGAGTGACACCGAAGAGCCAGGCAAGGGCTTCGCCTCCAGTCCAGCTCCTGTGTTCACTAAACCAATATTTGTTTAGTACCGATTGCATGCCAGGCTCCTTGGGCACTCTCGGCGTCGTAATGACACGCTCATGTCAGGGTCACAAGGAGCAGGAGCTGAGCTGAATGCTTGCACGCGTCAACTCACTTGAGTCCACGACCAATCATAGCAGCAGGAACTGTTATTGCACTGGGGGGACCTTATGTGACTTTCCATGGTCCAGGAGGGAGGGAGGGGCAGGGCTGGCGTGAAGCCCAGACCCATAGTCCAGGGCCCCAGCCTCACACCTGCTCCCTGAGCAAGGCTTGTGGTAGGTCACTGCCAGTAACCTGCCAAACATTAATTGCGCGACCAAGTGTGGGAGGCAGGATTTGAACCTGTAACTGTGTAATGCCAAGGGTCCACTCAGTTTCTGTTGTGCTGCTGAAATGAGCTGTGCGTAGAAGGAGGTGACAAAAGGCAGCTGTGGGTCCTGCTGGCCTCAGCAGAGGCAGGGAGGAGCACAGGGAGCTGGGTATCTGCTGTTGGGGTGGCTACAAAGTCCTGTAGACAGTATGCTTTAAGTGGCAGGATGTTACTGCTTTTCATAGTTCTGGAAGCTGAAAGTATGAGACCAAGAGGTCAGAAGGTTGTTTTTTCTGAGGCCTCCTTGCTGTAAATGGCTGTCTTTATACCCTCTCCCCTCTGTAAGCCTGGCTCCCAAACTTTTCTTATAACACCAGTCATATTGGATCAGATACAACTCCAATGACCCCCTCTTAACCCCCTCTTTAAAGACTGTCTCCAAGTACAGCCTTCTCCTGCGGTATATGCATGCCAATAGGACACAGTCCAGCTCCACAGAAAGAGTCCCATAACTTCGACAACATGAAGCAACAGGAGAGAAGACACAAGCAATTGGACGTGCGGAATGTTGCAAGGCCAGGGTGGCAAGGGGTGGTCAAGTATTGAAGAAGATTTTGCTTTTTCGTGGAAATGACCTTTGCTACGAATGCTGCTGTGTGGGAGAATCACAGACCCAACGACACCCAGAATTTAGATATTTATGATAATATTGTGGCACACTAGAACATTCAACATTAAGCAAGCAAGCTAGCCTTCATGGAACCCCTGTTCCATTATTCAGATAAAGACAAAATGATTGTGTGCTTCTTGCCTTCACTCTGGCGAGAGTCCTCGTGGTCCCTCTTATTTGAATCTGGCTCTAGCAACCAGGAAGTAGGAAAATTCCTTCACCAGGACAAGCTGGTGACCTGGTGCTTTTATTCCAAAAATAAGTTTATTTTCCAGTCTGATCCAGCCCAAAAGAACAGGATTTGTGCTGTCGAATCTTTTAAGATGGGTTGTATTCGCTTATACTGTGGAGTATTTGTTTCACGATGCAAAAATGTGTTGCATTCTTTTATGTTGTATTTAACATAAAGCTGTAAAGCTGTTACTTTTCCTGCCTAAAACACCTGGCTGGTCTAATAAAGAACTGAATGGCCAAGAGCTAGGCAGGAAAGAGGGATAGGTGGGGCTGCCAAGGCAGTGAGAATAAATAGGAAGAACAATCTAGTCTCAAGAGAAGAGCAAGGAACAAGGAAAGGGGAAGGAGAGGAGGATGGCACGGGCAGGCTACCCAGCCACACAGTCAGCCATGAAGTAAGAGGGAAAGATAAATAGAATAAAGAAAAGTAAAAAGCCCAGAGGTGCCAGACAGTGGTGGCACACACCTTTAATCTCAGCTTTAGGAGGCAGAGGCAGGTGGATCTCTGTGAGTTCGAGGCCAGCCTGGTCTACCAGGTGAGTTTCAGGACAGGCTCCAAAACTATAAAGAATCCTGGCAGGGAGAACCCAGAGGCAAAACACAGTTAAAGAGAAACAGGGTAATTTAAGTTAAGAAAAGCTGGCTAGAAACAAGCCAAGCCAAGTCCAGACATTCATTAGTAATAATAAGTCACCACGTGCTCACTTCGACAGCACATACGCTAGAACTGGAACCATACAGAGATTAGCGTGAGCCCTGTGCAAGGACTACAGGGGAATTCCTGAAGCGTTACATATTTTTCTAGAAAAAAAACATCCTGAGTGAGGTAACTGTCGGAGGCCACCCTCAACAAACATACCTCTTGAAAGGGTGGAGGCTGGGGTTCAGAAAAATAAGTAAATAATACAAGGACATGAATAAAATGATAAAACAGAAACACAGAAGAGTACCGGGAGGGAGTTCCAGTCAATGCCGAAATCACCTGTGTTTAATTTCCAATTGCTTAAAATACCCCTTACGCCAAAAAGATTTTTAAAAATCTGTATTAACATATACAAGGAAATGAACATACCAAGTGAAGGTTGAGGGTTATATTCTTAAGTAAACATTTTGTTGCTAGAACAAGACAAGTAACGCTCACACCCTAGACCAAAATGTTCCGTAGGCAAACCACTCCCTGAGTGAAGTCTATTATTATCCCCTTAAAGGAGAAGGAACTTAGTTGGATCCTCAGACTTTTGTTTGGAGTAGAAACATATCTACTTCTCTCCTCCTGAAATACAAGGTCAGGATATTCTTGTTGACGCCTTCTGTCAATAACTTTCAGAGTGCAGAACTCTCTGGTCTAAATCTAGGTGGGACCTTTGAGGTAGAAACAGACAATAACCTTGAAGAAGTAGAGGTAGGTTTCAACTCTCTGACCTTTGGCCAAGGAGGAAATAGGCTCACAATTTTGGGGGCCTTCACAGGTAACCCAGACTCAGGAAGACAAACACGGTATGTATTCACTCATAAGTGGATATTATGTGCAAAGCAAAGGATAACCAGACTGTAATCCACAGCTCCAGAGAAGCTGGAACCTTCATCCGGTAACTGAAGGAACCAGATGAAGAGATCTGCCACCAAACACCAAGCTGAGCTCCAGGAACCCAACTGAAGAGAGGGAGGAGGTAATAAATGAGCAAGGAAGGTCAAGATCATAATGGAGAAATCTATAGAGACAGCTGAACAAGCTCGTGGAAACTCATGAACTCTAGGCCCACAGTTGTGGAGCCTCCATGGGGCTGGACTAGGCCCTCTATATGTGGGAGACAGTGGTGAAGCTTGGACTATCTGAGGGGCCCCTGGCAGTAAGACCAGGATCTATCCCTGGTATGTGAGCTACCTTGTTGGAGCCCATTCCCTATGGTGGGATGCCTTGCTCAGCCTTAATGCAGGGCGAAGGAGCTTGGTCCTGCCCTAACTTAATGTGCCACACTTTGTTGACTCCCTGTGGGAACCCTGACCCTTGGGAAGAGGAGTGGGAGGGAGAACTGTGGTTAGAATGTAAAATAAAGAAAAAAAATTAAGTCACTGTGTATGTATTTGGGAGCTGTGTGATGGGCCCCCAAAGAGCAAAAAGAAAAAAAACAAAACAAAACAAAACCAAAAACTACAGATTTGAGCCGGGACCTGACCAGTTGAATCTCAGAAGCACTACCATTCACCATCAACAAGGGATCTGCTTGGGCCATCTCCTGGTCTCTGTCTAGACTTTCATAATAATAGTATTTGACCTTCCTCCTCCATGGGTAGGCAAGAGGCAAATGGAACAGCTTCTGAATTTGGTTTCTCATTCTATTTACTGCTGAAGTCAGTCTTTGTAAGAAATCCATAAAGGTTTCTTGTGGGCACTGTATAACTTTAGTAAATGACTCAATTTTCTTTCCTATTTCTCTAATTCTGTCTCAAGCATTCAAAGCTACTGTGCAGCAGAAATCCAGGATGTGGTCACCATATAAGCTTGCCTTTCTGTAGTAGCATAATCTCTTTCTCCAAGAATTTGATCTTGGGAGATTTCCCTACCTCTAGCTTTATTCCATTATTCAATAATCTTAGCCTCTTCTCTGAGCCAGGTACTTTTTTGTAATTGTGGATCAGGTTCTAAAACACCTTTAACCGATTCTATCCTGTTAGGGATAATTCTATTACAAACTGACCATGAGTTTAACGTGAGCGTCACAAAAGGTGAATGCATGCCATATGAGACTACTGCATCCTTGAATCTCTCTAAATCTAACATTGGAACAGGATCCCAGTTAGCTGTAACAGAGCCTCTGCCATTTGGCAATTTCTGTAAGGTTACTGGATATATTAAAGTTGGTTGTCTGAAAATCTTAGGCTGTTCCTCTCTATTTTTATAATGCAATGCTGAAATTGGTTCTCCATTAAATTCCTCTCTCTGGATTTGAATATCTCTGTGATCTGTTTTATTAGGTTTTCCTAAGGCCTGTATCTTAGCACTCAGATTAGCCAACTCTTTTAGTGATCAGACAAAAATGATAAAGCTTATAATATTTACAATGGACATTACATAAATCCCATCTAAATTAGATATTCTCTCATTTAATCATTCTGTTTTCAAGCTGTCTAGCATATTATCATTCAGAGACCCAAATCCCTCCACTGTAATGGTTTTTCTTATTTTTAATGTAGGAAAGAAACCCTCTTTTTAAACTAATTCCTCCCTTTAAGAATTCCCCATTGTTTTATCAAATCTCCTGACGATGTTGATGAAGATATGAGACTGATTGCTGCTGCGTAGAACAGTAGAAGCCTGACTGGATTTTGGGGCAGCGACCTAGTTTGACAGCAGCTTGAGAAGGGGGTTCAGGGAAAACCTACAACCCATAGTCCACGGTGGAGACAGGGGGAAAGGGAGCTGTCTGAAAAATGTCTAGGGATTGTTCGGGAAAAGCACAGATGGTGGAGGTGCTGTCTGAAGGCAGAACTAGCCAGTCTAGGGAGGGTGAGTCCTGTGGCATTTGAGGCCCAGGGTGTTCTGCGGGAGACTATTTCAGAGAGGCGACAACAGGAAAATCCCCAATTCACTCGGAAGCTTGGGGAAAAAAAGAAAAGAAAGCCTAGCTAGATAAGACTGGAGCCCCACATGTGGCTCAGGCCTGTGCTGGTGGCTAGAAAACCACAGGCAAATGGCTTTTTCGTGAATTTGTACCCCAAACATTCTTCACCAAATGCTGTACAATTAATAAAAAAAAAAACCCAGACACAGATATTGGGGTTCAACCTGAAGACCAGAAAAGCAAAGCAGCCAAGCCACTAGAGAGCTCTTGGCTCTATGAAATCTTCAGACTGAAAGCAAGCAAGTTCCTTTTTCCTCCTGCTCTATATTCCTCTCTAGTGCTGGGATTAAAGGCTTGCACCAACACCGCCTGGCCTCTGTGGCTAACTAGTGTGGCTGCTGGGATTAATGTGTGCTTCCACTGCCTGGCCTCTATGACTGACTAGTGTGGCTGTTTTGTGTTCTGGTCTTTAGGCAAACTTTGTTTATTAAAATACAAATGAAGTGTCACTATAGGAGTGGGCTACCACAGAGACAAATATTGATCCAGCATCTCTGAAACACGTGGCCAGGGCTTGGTGGCCAAAGATAAGCCAGATATGTCCCATCAATTCAAGAAATCCACCGGGAAGCAGGCTTGGTGAGAAATAATACTTATTTGCCTCAGGATTTATCTCTGGAATCCAGGCAAAGCTGAAAACTATGACGGGTGATCAAAGCAGCCGAGTCTTGACTGTGACTCTGGGGAGAGCTTTAAAGTCAGTCCCGGAGACGATCCCTGAAGATAGTGTGAGCATCTGAGAACTGGGGTGTCACCTCCGGAGGCACCACTCTGGAGGGAAAAGTTAACTAACTGCCCTTGCTGTGCAAGTTCTAGCTTGTTTGTTTGTTTTGTTTTCAGAACATAAGCAAGCCGGGAGTCCAGTCCGAAGAGAGGGTGGAGGGATTACATGAGCAAGGGATGTCAAGACCATGACGGGGAAACCCACAGAGACAGCTGACCTGAAGTCATGGGAGCTCATGAACTCTAGACCAACAGGTAGATAGCAGGCATAGGACCGAACTAGGCCCTCTGTATGTGGGAGGCAGTTGTGTGGCTTGGTCTGTTTGTGGGACCCCTGGGAAAAGAACCAGGATCCACCCTGGTTCATGAGCTGGCTTTTGGAGCCCATTCCCTATGGTGGGATGCAGACTCGATGCAAGCAGGACACACTTGGTCAGCTTAATGTGCCAGGCTTTGTTGACTCCCCATGGGAGGCCTTACCCTTTCTGAGTAGTGAATGGAGGGTGGGTTGGAGGGGAGGTGTGTGTGGGGGGATCAGGAGAACGAGAGGGTAAGAGAACTGTGGTTGGTATGTAAAATGAATTTTAAAATTTAAATAAAATTTAAAAAGAGCATACACAAGCAAAAAAAAAAAATTCCATGACTAAATACTTGATTGATGGAATTTTACTCTAAAGTTGCCCAAGCCTTCCTAGGTTGTGAATGTTTTTTTGTTTTGTTTTGTTTTTATTTATTTATTTATTGGTTTTTCAAGACAGGGTTTCTCTGTAGCTTTGGAGCCTGTCCTAGAACTAGCTCTTATAGACCAGGCTGGCCTCGAACTCACAAAGATCCACTGCCTCTGCCTCCTGAGTGTTGGGTTTAAAGGCGTGCGCCACCACCACCAGCAAGTATGAATGTTAAACTTTTTAGTGGTGTCTGCCTCCCGTTCACCTTTGAGCTCCCCCCCACCCCCATTTTCCAGTACTGCCGGTCTCTTCAGAATATTGACTCTCCACAATATTCAGCTTAGACACACAGTTGCTGACCACAGCTACTTCCTTCAGAAGCCTCTTGGGGACATTTTGACCAGGATCTCCGGTAGTACTGACTTTTTGGTACCCTACTTACTTGTAAACATAAAGCAGCTTTGCATTTAAGCCTCCTCTTATACCACAGCCTCTGGACTTGGTCTCTCTATTGCAAGGCGCTCACGGTTTTTTAGGGCACTCTCTCAGTTGCAAGTTGGGGAGCAGAGACCACAATGTCCAGCTCCGTCTGTCCCCATCTTGGTTCTTAGCTGAAGTGCTTATGGCATTCTCTATATTCCAACTGATTCCTGAGCATTTGGCTACCAGCAGATGGCCCCACCAGACAAAAGAGCCCCTGTGAACAAGAGCCAGGACTTCAAGGCCAGGACAGGATTTTTTGTTTTTGTTTGGTTTTGGTCTTTTGAGATAGGTTTTCTCTGTGTGG